CTGCAAATATGCTTGGAATTTCCCCGACTCGTTTACTTATTTTTGAATCGTTTATCTCGACTGTTGGTCGCTCAGTTAAATTTGATAATCGAGGCCTTGCTATTACGTTGAGAGCGACTGTCGCGAAGCATCGTCGAACTCCTCGTCATCTTTAATGGAGTATTCTCTCGAGAGAAATGCTGGCAACTCGCTGTGGTTTTAATCTGAACTGGACAAGCAGCTTAAGCCTCGTCCAACAGTCGATACTCGAGATCGATAATTTTCGAGCAACGGACGAACACTAACGCGTCGGACTTGCGTGCGATGGCCGAGAGGCGGAAGAGGGACGATGGAAACCGTGTAAATATTTCACTCTAGAGATCCGACTATGGACAGCGAATCATCCTTTTTAGTGTACATTATACTTTGTATCATAGCCTACGAACGTTTAGCTAGACACTATCGTGATTTCCGTACGAAAGGCAACGGGAAGGAAGAACAGTCGCTGTTTCTGGGAATTTTTTTCGTTCGATCGTTGGACCGTTCTCACGTGCTGCCCGCCGGGATTGAATCGCCGCGAACGTGATACGGACGTTGACGTGTGTTTCGTCTGCTTTAAAAATCGGTGACAGGTCATTCGTTGCAACCGGTATACAACTTTAACGCTAGAACTACCGTGCCGGTCGGAATCACCGGTTCTGGTTTCCTTGTTTCGCGATCATTGTTATCCCAAAGTGTCGCTTGATACTTTTAAATCCGAAATGATTTGAGAAACAGTTCCACTCGAATACTATAACGAATACCCGAAGAAACTGAATAAAATCTATTATCAAGATTTTTATAAGGATTACATACTAATCGTCTTAATCATCTCGAATACTCGGTACTTCTAGTGTTAATTCTTCCATTCGCCTACTTATTCATATTTTCCCGAAGTTCCGAGGCATTCCCAACGATTCGAATATTAGTAACAGGTTAAAAGGACATTTTGAAAAATGTCTTTCGTCTCCGTATCGGTTCAGCTGAAGTTCAATCTCGAATTCCGCGCATGTACCTGTAGCATTAAAGATCGATTGGGCGCGGAAGCGACGCCCGCGGAAAAGACCAGGCAGCATTCGCACAAGATCTTCCGTTAGCGAAACAAACAAATTTAGAAGAAGAAAAGTGAAAACAAAGAGAGAAAAACTGAATGACAGAAACTCCGTGTGTGTGTGTGCGTGTGCGTGTGCGTGAGCGTGTGCGTGTGAGAGAAAGAGAGAGGGAGAGAC